CAGCCTGAAAACAGGGAAGCCAGGCCGAAGCCTGCAGGCGCTGCGTATTGTCAATGCAAGGCACATCTGGATGCTAACATTCTGCATGTAAAACAAATCACTCTGCTCACTCGGAATAAATGTTGGAGTTTACCCCTAAACAAATGCCCCTGAAAACATACGTATTGGTTACAGTATACAAAGTGTACAATACAAAAAAGCTGTGTACTTCTCTGTACTTGATTAAAAATGATATAATGCTTAGGAATACTGATGGATTTGTAATTTCCAGGTAGAGTGTATATAGAATAAGAATCATTTATATCATTTCATAAGACAACTCCTTACCCATCTCTCTCGCATATATGTGTGTTATGTGTGTGCGTATATACTTATGTAAGTAGATATGGGTATGGATAACATTAAGTAAACTACCTGTCATCTGTAATGACATATAACATGAAAATTAAACTTACCAATTGAAGAATAAATGTCGGGAACTAAGATATAAAACAGAGAGTTGTAAACATAACTTCTCATTTAATTTGCTCCTAGCCTGTGTCAACAGAAAGGCAATGCTGTTGGCGGCTGAAAACAGAGCTAGTCCAAGAGGACTGTCTTTAATAACAAGATCTGAAGGAACTTACATAGAGAAAGCACGCTTTGGTGCCCTTCCACACTGGTTCCTGGTGTTTTAATGTCAAGGTCAACAGAGGGGCCCAGGCCCTTCTTTAGCCTCCTGCGGTTCCCCTAACTCTTCTGGAGACCAGGCCAGGTTGTGACAGGGAATGCCAATAGGGGACTGGCATCACCCTTTCCCACCTCCAAACGATTGAAGAATGCTGCGTGTACCTGAAGAATAGACCAGAGAGGGAAACTGGGCCTGTCTGAGTGAAGGCACCCCATGGGCCAGCAGCTCCCTGCAGTAACCTGTGTTAAGGTGCTTAGACCGGGGCCTTGGCTCAGGCGATCTTTCCATATGCGTGAACTAATGATTATCATCTCAAAACACAACATGAAACACTTGTACAAGTCACATGAACCATGTGTAACCGATCCAGGTTCAGAGGTGAGACACGTCTTCTTGGTGAGCTTTCACCTCGAAAGGATGACACTCAAAGCATGACATTGGGTGGGATGCATTGGCAAGGCTCAGAAAACATGGCTACAGTTGGTTTCCACTTCTCTTGCCCCACCCCCCACAGGGGCAACACGAAGAGGTTTGCAAGACTTTGGGCTTAGCATATAGTTATTGTTTCATAGAAGCGGAGAAAGGCGGGAAGTTGTATGTCACTTAATTAGACCACTTGGAACATTCTAAACTTTCATGGAATGAAAATTTTTTTGGTTTCTGTTCATGAATTGAGTGAAAAACAAACCACCACAACAACCGAAAAAAACCCAAAAAACAAAACAAAGAAACAAAAAAACCCAAAAAAACAAAGCAGTATGGGACCCAGGGTTTTAACATAAAGGATTAACCTCACGGACATGACAGGTGTCTCTGAAAAAGGAGGGCATGACTGTTGTTTTAAAACCAGCTTC